AAGGAACAGTGGCGGTTCTGTCCGACCAGAGGAAGTGACACCCGAACTGGCAGGAGTTCAGAAGTAATCATGCCCGACCTGACGGAGGCCTGGAAGTGAATACGCGAGGTGGTTATAAAAGGCTTCTACCCTCCCCAGGGAGGAGGTATGCTAACTCTTGCGCTATCTGGTTATTCTTGCCTTTGAAGGATTCTAACTTGAGCTTCGGAGCCTGTACGCCGGGTTCTCCCCGGAGATTCTCTTCTCCCATTTCAGGTCCCTGTTACACATTTCAGAGGCAAGATCATCAACAGCTAAGACCGGCCAGATTGTGCATCATCAGAAATAAAATACAGAATTTAAAATTAACCCAAAAGTGAAGTTGTTTTTCTATTTGGTGGTAAATCAACAATTTAACCTTTTAGGTCAAATGTGTCAACCTGAGAAGTTATAAATAATTAATAAAAAAAAGATAAAAGTATAAAAAATGTAAAAAAATATATAAATTATGTAGAAAATATTTTGGCATATCTCTAATATTTTATATTAATTAACCATATTAAATAAAGATAAGTGTGGCAAAGAATAATTGTTTTTATTAATGAGAAATAAAATACAAACTTAAAACCAACAAAAAATTTGAGTTCTTTTCCTATTTGATGGTGAGTCAACAATTCAACCTTTTGGGTTAAATACATCAACTATTGATGTCATAATTAAATAATATAAAAAATTAAAAAAATATGAAAACATACAAAAATATAAAAATACAAAGAAAGTTGTAGCAAACATTTGGGCATTTCTCCAATATCGTATATTTGTTATATTAAACAAAATCAAGTGTGACAAATAAGAATTATGTTTATTGATATAAAATTATTAAAAAATTATATAAAAATTAAAAATATTTTATTTAGTATCATCATCGTAAAAAATTGCCACATGCACACTTACTAGCATTACAAGTGTCTCAAAACTACAAGTATTGAACCAAAGGAAATTTGTAATCTGTGTTAGGGATAACCCCTTGTTGATCTCTTACTTCCAAAATACAATTATTAAACCATGAAGGGTTTATATAGCATTACCTTCTCTTCTCTTGCTCGAATAAAAGGGTCGATGTTGGCTTGTATATCTCCAAATCGAAAGAAATCCTCCCCCTTCTCAAGCGAACAATGAACAAAGGTCAATGCTGGTTTGGAGTCGCACACCACTTATAACCCTAAATTTCATTCTCATTCCCTATTCGAACAATGATTCTCCCTCTTCAAGCTTCTTCGTCAAAAACTTTTGTATTATTGAACAGAAAGCCGATCGCCTTTACGCGGGAGAGAATTTAGAACCACCGCACCTACTATTTTAGACCGTCACGCCAGTTCCCGAACCCGATGTGGGCGGGGGTCTATATTAGCAGCGTCATTAAGATTTAAGACTAAGATGGATTGGGGTAATAATGTTTCAATTTTCAAGTTGAAATTATGCTCCTAATAAATTCTAGGAGGTTGGACTGCATGAACTAATTGCATATCATGAAGCCGAACTTTTTAGATGGTAAGAGTAGGCTGCGGGCTGCAGAGGGATCGGATCGGATTAGGTAAAGGCATATCCGATCTGATCCATTAAAAAACTCTGATTGATCCGAATTCGATAAAGATGTGTTGGATTTTCAAAAGCATGAGAATTCGAATTCAAACGTATTATCGGATATCTAATTCAAAATTTTAATGAATTAAATCGGATTGGATCACTTTTGCTATTTTGGATTCGTTTGACTTTATACTTGCTGGTTCAAGAGATGGGTTCAGCTGCATTTTTAACGAAGTTTGAGATTTTTAGGGCTTTGTTATAAATTAATATTAAGTCTTTATATATATATATATATAATAATGACACCAAGTTGATTATTAAATTAAATAAAATCTTAAAGAGTGATATGCTTAATCACGCATATATGTTTATTTGAATTTCCCACGAAACATCTAATGAAAGAGTCAATTACCAAGAGCAACAAAATACCATCCAATTTCATAAACCAGCAGGTACACAAGTTCTTAGAAAGAATAAAACATACAAATTGAGAGATGAACAAGCAGCAAGAGGACAACTGCTCCACGGTGGTGGTACAACAATCACCAACAACGTAACTAGAGACCCAGAAATCAACATAACTCTATCTAGTTCCACCCACAAACATAGAGTACTAGAGACCCAGAGAACAATATCCCAACTGTATAATCCAAATCTAATTGCAATTAAAGATGGATACATACATATATAGATCAGGCAGCTAACATTAACATATAAAGCAGTAGCAATCAACCCACCATCAGCATTAAATTAAGCTTGGAGAGCGTAGGAATCCATCCAATTAACGAGTCTGCATGCAGCATCCATATACATATTTGAATCAGCCACACCTTCATCAACCTTCTCATATTCAATGCAACATTTGACGAAGCTCTTCTCCTTGTTTTCAATTACTTGTACATTCAGCTTATAGTATTTGTACAGCTGTGCAATATCTCCTTGAAAGAACCTCAATGTGAGGGACATGTTTTCTTCATCCAAGGCTTCTAATTCAGCTTTTGCACTCAAAACCTTTCCATCATCTGTGTTTGAAGAACAATTCCATCCATCCATCCATCCATCAGAATATATATATGGGTTTGTTAGCTAGCTAGAAGAATTTTTGTCTTTTAAGATGTTAAATATAGCTAGCTAGTGCATGCATGCATGGAGATATAGATTCATTACGTACCTGAAAGATAATTCCAGCTTGTGATAGAGCCCACACTCTTCCCATCTCCTTCAAGTATATGTACTCGACGTGAATCATGAGGGGTGACCTTGTGAAAATGGATAGTGTGATCCAAGAAATGCTTAAAATACTCTCTTGCAGGAGACTTGATCTCTATTTCTGATTCGAGCTTACTGGTTTGAGCCATCTTTTCAAATGATATGCAAATCAAGTTTCAAAATACAACTAGCTAGCAGAGAGAACGAAGAAGCTGGAGAAAGAAAGAACACTTCCAATGTTTGATACCCCAAAACCCAAACTTAGGCGGGTGTATATATAGAAATTTGAAGATTGCTGAATTTCATTGCACCTTTCCATTTTAGAAGCCCCAAGGCAAATTCATTATGATATCCGATTCAGTGAGACTATGTTCAGTTGTTCATAGTCTTTTACAGTCGTGCATTGGGAATATTTTCATACATGTAATACTTTTTTTTCATAGGGAGATATTCATAATGTAAGGCCGTAAGAGACTGCATAAGAAACGGTGTGAGCATGGTCTTTTGAGGATCAAATCCTATTTGGTCAAATGGTATTCCACATGCAACAATCATTTTCCAATAAAAAATTATATTAAATTAACATATACATAAGCATTATTATAAATGTATTCAACTACTAACAGTGTTTGTAAATAGACATTTAATATTTTACTAGCGGAGGGGGGTCGAAATCATATTAAATTAACATATACATAAGCATTATTATAAATGTATTCAACTACTAACAGTATTGAATCGGTTTTTGGCCAAAAATTGTTGAATCGGTCAATGTGTCATTGACCGATTTAATGGTTTTTGGCTGTTTTTTATTTTTTTAATTGGCCATCTAGGTAATTGGTTCTGTTTTATCCTAATCTCGGTCCATAGCCAAAAATCGTTAAATCGGTCAACGACCCATTGATCCGTTCAATGGTTTTTGGTTTTTTTTTTTTATTTTTTTAGTTTTTATTATCAGAATGGGTCATCCGTTCGAATTGAAAATTCAAACTGTTGACTCAAAAACCGGTGGTCAGAATGGTTTCGTTTTCAGGTTGTATAAGTCACGTGCTCGAATGACATAACACGTATGGTAATGCTTAATGGACATCATCGAACCGTCAACCCATTGACCTGTTCAATGGTTTTTGGCTGTTTTATTTTTATTTTTTAATTTTTTTTGTTAGAACGGGTCGTCCGTTCAAACCGGACGATCAAATAGTCGACCCGAAAACCGGTGGTCAAAATGGTTCCATTTTTGGATTGTATGAGTCACACACTTGAATGACATAACATGTATGATACTGCTCAATGGATCTCACACACTACTTTTTGCCTGTAATTTTTGTTGTCAGAACGGATTGTCCGTTCAAATCGGATGATCGAACCGCTGACCTGAAAGCTAGTGGCCAAAACGGTTCCATTAATTTTTGCTTATAATTTTTTGTTGTCAGAATGGGCCATCTGTTCGAACCGAACGGCTGAACCGTCGATCAAAAAATCGGTTGCCAAAACGATTCTGTTTCGGGTCGTATGAGTCACACACTCAAATGACATAACACGTATGATACTACTTAATGAACCTCACATTCAATTTTTTGCCTATAATTTTTGTTGTTAGAACAGACTGTCCGTTCGAACTGGATGATCGAACCATCGACCCAAAAACCGGTGGCCAGAATGGTTCTGTAATTTTTTGCTTGTAATTTTTGTTGTTAGAACAGGCCATCCATTTGAACTAAACGATCAAAGAGTTAGTTGTTAGAACATTATTAACAACATTTATCAATAATAATAAGTAATTATACTATTTAATTAAATAATCATTAATGATAGTTTTAATAATATTATTTAGTTATTTTTAATATAGCAATAATTATTAAATTTATGAATAGGATTTATTAACAATATTCATTAAATTAATAATTACCAAAATTAAATTAAATTAATTGTATTTATTAGTAATAGTCAATAATTATAATATTTTATTAAATAATCAATAAAAATACGTTTAATAACATTTTTAATTATTTTGAATATAACAATAATTACTATACTTATTAACAATATTTATAATATTAATTTAAAGTAAAATTAAAGTAAATATCTAGTTATTAACAATATTTATTAATTATAATCACTAATTGTATATTTTTAAATTACTGTGATAATCAGTAATTATTATTACAGTATAATTACAGTAATAATCAATAATAATAATTATTAATTAGTAATATAATTACACTGTTAATTAGTAACATAATCAATAATTATTATTACAGTAATTATATAATTACACTATTAATTATTGTAATTAATTAGTAATTATTGTTATTAATTAATAATTAATTAGTAACTAATTACTGGCAATGGGTGCATGTTATTACACTATTAATCACTGTAATTAATTAATAATTATTGTTACTTGTTAGTACTGTAATTATTATTACAGTAATTAATTAGTAATTATTGTTATTAATTAGTAATATAATTACACTATTAATTACTGTAATTAATTAATAATTATTGTTATTTTGAAAATGGGTGCTCGCACTAGTAGATTCCATTTCCTAAGTGAAAAGAGCACCCATATCTTAATTAATAACAATTAAGATGTTGTACAATTTAATTTGGTGAGATGGCAATAAATTCAGCCCCCCATATTCTACTAATAGTTCCCTCCCTTATAAACTGCATCCTGCCTGTGGATTTGGTATCAATCCACGGTCAGGATGCATCCCACCTGTACGGTGGGGTTAAGGATTCTAAGGTAGACTGAACTGTCATTCTCCCTAAATCTTGTAAACGGGACTGTTTTGCATTCGCTGAATGTGGATGAGACCGATCCTGTCCACACCCCAATATAATATGGACAAGTTTCGTCGATACCCCAATTTCTCATCCACGGCAATATCACGTGGACATTGATGGACTTTGTGCCTTTTTGTACAGATCAGTAATAAAGACAACCGTGCTCTATTTATTACTTATTTGTTTATTTTATTGATTTTTGTTGATATGATCAATTTTGCTTCCTTGTTTGTTCTTATTATCTCTTATTATTGATAGTTTTATTTTATTGTTTCTCATTGTTTACTCAATCGGCTTTTGTTGATATATGACCTATTTTTTATTTTGAAAGCAGTGGGGTATGGGAATTATTGGCTTTTGTTTCTTATTGTTTACTCTATTGACTTTTGTTGATATATATGGTCAGGTGACTTCAGAGAGGAGAGAGACAGATACTGCAGAGAGGTTCTACTAACCACTTTCAGAAAAATGTGAAGAAGGTAGAAAGGTTAGATAATCAACTAATGCATACAATCTCACAATACATAAAAAATCAATGAATGATCTAGAAAACAATCAATCAATCACTCAGAAAATTATAGAAAAAAACCGAGAGGTTAGCTAATCAATTGATGCACAAATTGTTTACAAAACATAAAAAAAAAATCAATGAAGATGATGAAAAGTCAATTAATGAATTTAATGCACGTGTTTTTAGTTTTTTTGTAAAACATAAATAATTAATATTTATTTATTTATTTGAATAGCCAACAAATTGATAGATTGGGCATTATTTAATAAATTGGATAAACATGGTGGTTATTAGACCTTGATTGAGGGCACCACCAGATTAAACAGAAGACGTTGAAAACCATTTACGCTGTGTTTGGAAACAATGCAAATATATACAGTGTAAAACGGTTTATATAAATTATAAAATTGGGTTAGTTTTGCACCCACAAATTTACTTTCTTATCAAACAGACTTTTATCTGTAATGGATGCAAGCGTGAATTCCAATAAAGCATGTGCATTTTTTTTTATCAAAAGCCTACTTGAATGCAAATTTACTCATTTTTTATTGATGTACTTATACATCTTATTATCAATGTAAATATGCATTAATTTGTTATTTATCAATGCATAAATGTAATGTTGCCAAACACAGGCAAAAATGAACCAGAATGCAAATGTACCCTAAACTGAGATTTACACTCTATTTGTATTGTTTCCAAATTCAGTTACAAGGATAGCCCCTATAAGTTACAAGGGATGGTAACGGTAGGGTATTTGCCCTTCCCAAATCCTAAACCTGTCTAGATGTCCTTCATCCCATATACGACCCAAACCCATTTGACATTTCCCCCAAATTCCCCAAACCCGTTAAACCTATCATGAGTTCATGACCCTATCACCCAATTGTCATATGCCCTATTATTGGTATCATTTTTTAAATTTAAAATTCAAACTCAATTACTTTAATTTATGCTTATTTTTATTAATACTCCATTAACCATAATTGGCCACATAATTTAATCACACAATTTAATCTTATTTAACACGCCACTTAATAACGTTAATTAGTTCCATTAATTGTCTCTATCGCATATTAATTAATTCAACTCCATTTAAGTCTATTTAAAACCAATCATATATAAAATTAATATGTTGTTATATAAATTAAAATAACACACCAAAGAAAGTGTTTTGATCACCAAATCTCTCTACAGTATCTTGTTAAAGAAGCATTGGTAAGCAATTATATTATATCAATGCGTATTAAAGTATGGAAAGCTCATTTGCAAATACCCAAGTCTTAGGCCATAATCAAATCAGCTCTGAATTATCCATTTATGAGTATTTTTTTGGGTGATGATTAATATCCAGTCCTCCCCAGACTATAGTCTGGAGAAGAAACTTCCATACAACTGTTAGGTGCTTTGCCTGTTCAACCTTTGGACACCCCATCAGTATTAAGTGCCTGAATATTTGGGAGGGCTTTCAAGCCATGGCTTCTAGCTTTACAAGCTATATCCCACATGGAAAACCTAAAAGTTATGTTTGGTGAAAAACCTAAAAATCCACAATATGCCTTCATTCAACTCAGAAATCGGCTTTTTAGTTAGATTAGTTTTATTTGCTTCTTCAAAGTTGCTAAGTGAAAGCAGCTCAGTCAAAGCTGTGAAACCCTCCTAAGTGGACTTGTTTTTTTTTTGGCAATAAAGATATATATATATATATATATATATATATATATATATATTAAAAAGAAGAAATCAAACAACAAGCCTTCCCAACAAGTCCTGGGAAGTAAGAATTACAATCCATTCAGGGAAATTAAACACAAAGAAACCTGACTCACTTAGACCTCTCTTAGCAAGATATATAATGGGCTGACTGATTCATCTATCTCTTAATGAAATCAAAGTGAACATTTAAACCTTGGGTTTCCTCTGAAATGTCCTTGAACAAGAAAAGGATGTTGGCTGGAACACTGCTACTTGCCCCGGTGGAAAGGTTTAGGAGAGGGAGACAATCCCCTTCACACAAAAGGATGAAAACCCACAGCTTTTGATCAGTTCATACCTTT